CATAGATCTATTTCCCCATCCTCATATAAATATATTTGCATATGTACATGTCTTTATCTAGACCTCTATACATAACATTACTTTCGTCGCTACTTCAGAACTGTAATTTTGCTACTGTTATGAATCGGGTGACCCCTGTGAAAGGTTGAGAACCACTGGTCTAGAACAATGCTTCCCAAAGTGGCTAATACCTGTAGAGGCACAGAACAATCCAGGGAGGTGGCAAAAGCCCCTCCTCCATCCTGGATTATGTTCTAGAAGGGAAAGGTGACCTGAAAGGTCACTTCACCTCAGGATTGAGCATACCAGGATGGCAAGATTCCACCCACGCCGTCAGAGAGTTCTAGGGCAGGTGGAGTCTAAACAAAATGCTAGCAGATGCTGGAGAACTGTAGAGGGGTGAGCGAGCACTCTTGGGAAAGGGGAACTGATATTAGCCTTGCCTGACTAGGCAAAGGGCATTGGCTATAAATGAACATTGGAAATTGGAAATATAGGCAAGGGAAGAAATTCTTCAGAGAAGGCCAGGTGTTCAGAAATAAAATGAGAAAATTGTGGTGCTGAGCAAGAGTAGAAAAGTTAATGAACTATTGGTGTATGTACATGTGTACATGTGTGCATGCATGAAAGCATGCATGGGTTTTCTATCTTCCAAGTAACCAGAGAGGAATGTCTTTCTGACCTTCTCCATTGTCCCCTCGAACTCAACATGACAGCAGTGGAGCTTGGCATTCTTGCTCCCAAGCTTACTCCTTCTTACCCCTCTAACATTCTCTCAGTTAGTCAGGCTCAAAACAACCAAGCAATCCGCAGGTCCCTCCTTCTCTTTTATTCCTAAGCTCCTAGAGTCCATTGTAGTAAGAAACGGTGACTTTCCTGCCTAAAAACAAAACATATCTAATCTAAGAAAGACATTAGCCCAAGAATCTTGGCATAGGAGGTGTTGCCAGACCAACCTCCCAGCCCAACTCCTTATTATTATTTATTTACTATTATTAATGATGTTAAAAACTTTTCAGGTTTGTTTGTTTGTTTTTAATGGGTGAACATGGGCTGATCAATGGTACTATAAACAGAAGGTCCTAATTCCAGGGAGTTGAAAGGATGTCTTTAAGGTGAGCCAGAAGCAGATAAAAAACATAGATTTAAGGGTGAATTTGGGGGCTTGCACTTAATCCTAGCTCCAATCTAAAAACAATGTGTTCTTATGACATGGTCCTGCTCAATACTCACTCTCAGGAAGGAAACACAGAAGATAATAGGTGCTATAGCAAAGTGTGGTGAAGAAATTAGATGGTGCTTGGCTGTCAAATAGAATAGCATTTGGGGTCTTAAAGGCTTGTTTCCAAACAAGCAAATATCTAAGTGGCATTTCAACTATGTTCATATGGAGGAAGCACACCAACATCTACGATCCAAGGATTGTACACAATATATCCAAATCCCGAGGAGAGAATAGTATCAGAGCTGAAATTGTGAGATTCTGGTGTGCAGAAGGCTATGAAGGACAGGGGAAGCCCAAAATATATTTGCATGATCTACAGAAGAATAAATAAGCCTCCAGTGATTTCCCTCTAAGCATAAGGGAGGGATGGGAATAACCTGATTATTATACAGAGAATATTGAAGAGCCAACTATAGTAGGTTAAAATCAAAGCTCTGACTTGAATGGCTAAAACCTTGCCACTTGATCTACCCTCTGATATGCTTTGGGCTTGATTTGGTTTTTAATATTTTCTGTGGGGTTTTTATCATATTGGGTTTATCTCTTTTACTTTGTCATTGTGGAAGCCTTCTTGAATCTTTATTATGTGTTTTTGTAAGCTTTTCAGTATTTGAAACTCAGGATAGATAAACCTATAGAGTCAACAACTAAAAACGGTTCCTGCAGGGTATGTCAGGGACGTGGGGGTACTAAGGGGGTGCTGATATCAAGGAGTTTAAGAAGGAAGAAGATATTTTGAAACTGACTTTGGTAGCAATTGTATAATAATGGTTAATGTAATTGAATTATGGAATGGTATGATGTCTTGAATAGCTCCTAAGAAAATGGTTTGGGGAAAAAAGAAGAGAAGTTCTTGAGAAAAAATGGGTAAAGACAGAGATCAATAATAGGGTGTTGACTGGCTTTACAGTGCTCTCTGTATGAGAGCGTGGCAATTCAAGACCAAAGACTTAATCCACATGGTGACTCTGAAAATGGATTTGGGGTGCCCATTTTCATCTAAAGCCTTCTTCAAACCAAGTGTTCATAATTTAAGTTCTAATACCATTCCCTCTTCTAGATTTGGATTTTAATATTTACAATCCATGATCACACATGTTGGTACCAGTGCCTCTTCCATGTGAACTTAGTTGATACCTTAGATGGCTACTTGTTTAAAGACAAACCTTTAAGACCCCAAACACTATGTCTTCAGATGGCCAGACACCATCTGATTTCTTCACTATACTAACACCCATATCTTCAGTCATCTCTTCATGAGGGTGAGCATCAAGCAGGACCATGACATAAGAACCAATTGTTCTTAAATTGGGACTAGAATCAAATGTGAGCCCCAAATCCATTCATATAGCTATGGTTTATATACATCTCTGTTCATTGTCATTATCATTTTATGATAGAGAACATTATATATCATACCCCTGGGGCATAATGGCATTATTGATAGTGTCATTAATTTAGCCAATAGTATAGAGTTTAAAACACTGTTGAGAAAAGGAAATTATAAAGTATAGGCCAACTTCTGAATACAATAGGTGAATTGATAACATATACAGACTAAACCCTTAAGTGACTGAACACTATTTGCACAAACAATAGGAGTTAATGATAAGGCAAAACTTTCAATAATGCTCATTCACAAAGGCAGAACCAGGCTTACAAAATTATACATGTCATAAGAAAGCAGTGAGGGCATTAAAATAATAAATATATGATAGTCCCCATCTACCCATTCATGGGGAAACCTCAAAGCACAGGATCCAAATCAAAGTCCAATGACTGTCAATTCCATAACTTGGGGATAGCAGTCATTTGCATCTTCACACACTGGGGCACTTCAGCCGTAAGTCCATGGGAGTATGCCAGTTCCATGACTTTGCTACAGGCAAGGATGACATAAAGCCCAGGTCCCTTAGTGGGCTTTCCACGTCAAATATTTCTTATGAAAGATGTTGTACAACTCAAAAGGACAGAGTCTAAAGTCCCTGTCATCTATTGCACATGGCCTGGGTTACCAAGCCAGCCCCAACTCTGTCCACTCCTCTCTGAGTGATTTCTCGCTATTTATTCTCACCACATCTTAGAGTAGGAAGGCTTGGTGTCCAACGCTGTTAATATTCAGACCAGACCATGGACCAAAGCCTTCCGTCATTATCATTGCTACTACTATTCACTGTGACCGAGTTGGTTCCAAGTCATAGCAACCCTGTAGCACAGAAATAGAACAGCCCTTGTGAGTTTCTGAGATGGTAGCTGTTTAGGGGACTAGACAGGCCATCTTTCTCCCATCAATATCACATAGCAACACCAACTCAAAGCTGGAATGTTTAAATAAGATTTTAAAGGTAAGCCCAGGCAACAGGAAAATAAACAAAGAGTAATAATGTGAGATTCACTCCTCTGTCTCACAAGCCACAGCATATTTATCGTTAGTTGTTGCTTCGAGGATTACCTGGGGGCTTAGAAAAGTTCATCTCAGTCCTCACTGCAAGAGTTTCCTCGAAGATATGTAGACTCTTCAAAGTCCAGACTCAAAAGAGGAATCATCAATGAGAGAAGATCGGTTCCTTGCTTTCCCATTATTGCAAACCCAACTTCCGCATCCTGAGCAAGGATGCTCATCAGAACTTGACTTATAAGGACAAAACATTAGCATCTTCCCGTGACCCTCAATACAGAATAAATGAAATTATGGTCCACTTGTGGTACCACAGTGGCATAGTATATATTTGACCATGGGCCTGTGGAAAACTGAGAACTTATATCAAGTGCTTTAGTATTTTTCTTATGAAATAAAAACAAAATGTAGGCATAAATTTCTTATTGTACCTGAGGACCTGACTCAGCAATATCATTCCTACTTTGGAGAAGATATCTGTTCTACCTCAAAAACACTCCTACTTTTCACCTACTGAATTTGATCATTCATGGCGATGGCCACCCAGAACTCGCAAACAACATCTATGATTAAGGGATGTATTAAGGAAGTTAACAAGTTACAGTGCAAGTGAGAAATGCTCAGGATATGGATGTGCAGTCAGGAAGTGAACTGATAAAGGCCCAAAGGGCATGTCACTGCATGAATGTCACGAGAAGGCATTCAGCTCAAACGCCATGGGTCAGTCAACCCAGTTCCCTGAACTAAGTGCCCAGAGGCACCCCACTTCACAAACAAGCCTGTTGCCCAGCTTTACTTGCTCTGTGGGCTCTCCACATCGTGTCTCATGCTCTGACTCCTGGATCTGGTGATGATGATGATGATGATGATGATGATGATGATGATGATGAAGAAGAAGAAGAAGAAGATGTTCCTCTGCCGAGCCTCAGATAGAAAAGCTGTCTTCTGAATCACAGAGGTTACCTTCACAGAGCTCTCAGGACCCCTGGCTCTAGCTGGTGGTGAAACTCCTCCCTCCTGATTCTCTGAGGGCTCATTTCATACCCAGAGGGATGGCGATTGCAGTGCATCCTGTCCCCAGTTACTCACAGGTGGACCCTACCAGTGTCTCCCCCATCTCCTTCTCCAGTCCCATGCAGGAAAATTTGCAACTTGGTGGGAGTTAGTTACAGAGATTTTGGCTAGAGCAGCGGTTCTCAACCTGTGGGTAGCGACCCCTTTGGGGGTCGAATGACGCTTTCACAGGGGTCTCCCAATTCATAATAGTAGCAAAATGACAGTGAAGAAGCAATGAGAATAATTTTATGGTTGGGGGACTGTATGAAAGGGTCGCAGCATTAGGAAGGTGGAGAACCACTGGACTAGAGGAACCACATTAAATAATTGATAATTAATAAATAAATAGTCACTGCTACATGCGACTATAAGGAGATAACACACCATCTCATCCTGAACTGTTGACTGTCTTTATATGGTAGCACCCCTGGGGTTACCTCTTTACTTTCCCATCCTACTGTTCTCTGTGGACTGCATACACACAGTTCCATGAGTCGGGGCAGCAGAAGCTAGGAGTAATGGAGACAAGTAGGGGAGCGCTGTTTGCCCAAACCAGTGCTGGGGACGCGCCAAACTCCTCCTTGATGTTAGGCATGGCCTGCCCACCCAACTCCCTCTCGGGAAACCTTTCCAGAGGGCATTGGTCCCATCGGACATTTTTTAAATTCTCATGGTTAGCCCTAAACTACTGGCAGTGTCGTAGTCTTCTTCTGCAGTGGATTAGGAGCTGGGGGGCAGCCAGGAGAATGTAGTGGCCTTTGGGAGGGGCCAAGGAGAAGATCTTGGTTTCTTATTTTCCTCAGTCCAGGTCCTACATTACGTGGTCATCTGATCATCTGACAACTTTGTTTTTCCTTTTCTTAACATTTTAAGACGGTGCCAGGCAAGCATCTCTGGGAGAGCAGTCTCACTCTGTTCTCAGATCCCTTGGGAAGAATAAAGGGCATGGGGGAAGCATAAGGAGCGAGTGGGAAGAGAATGTATAGGAAAGCCTGGAGATCTGAGGAGGATAATCAAGCAGGAAGCACTGGAGAAAGCCCTGCTCTCCATCAAAAGATACAGCGAGATGGTGCTGTGGTCAGACGCCTCCTAAGCGCTCGCTTACATCAAAGACCCGATAAAACAAGAGAATCAAATAGAGACGACAATATTGGTACCCTGAACATCAAAGGCAAGGCTGAAGAACTGGCCCAAATGCCAACTGGAAGGAGAGACTATATAAAAAGAGCTGACAGGGGGAATTGTGGATCATCAGCGCCCTGCCTGCTGAACCTGTATAGTGCAGCCGTATTGACACAAAACAAGCAGCATTCTCAGTCAGAGCCCCCATAACCTGGTGCTGCCAGGGAGGAACAACTCTGCACCCCGTCCAGAGCCAGGCAGGAGTCTCCCCCACCCTTTCAAAGGTAAACGCATTCATGTTACCCACCAGGACCCATTAGTGTGATTGCAGTCTGGAAGTACCCACTACCACCTCTGACTCATGGATCCACAGGACAATGGTTCCCACCCCTTCACTCAGCCACTCATGCCTGGAGCCCTCGGTAAGCAGCATTAACTCTCTGCTCCATCACTGGTGGTACAAGGGACCCACAGAATAACGGTGCTGCTCCTGTGCCCCAGGAATCCATACCAGGGCCCACAGTCTGATGGCACCCACTGTCCGGCCCAACCACTGGCCCCTGGAGCCTGCCAACTGGAGATACGCACTCCTATGCCCCAGACACCATGCAGGAGAGCCACCAACCAGCAGTGCCTCCTCCTCCCCTCAGCCACCTGCCCAAGAAGCGGATAGAGCAAGAGGTGGCCAACGTTCCCTGCCTCCCCGTTCCTCGGCTTGAGCGCCATTGTCGCAGCCACAGTGTCAATCCATCTCATTGAGGGCCTTCCTCTTTGTCACAGCCTCTTACTTTACCAAGCACGATGTCCTTCTCCAGGGACCAGTCTCTCGACGGCATGTCCAACGCATGTGAGATGAAATTTCGCCCTCCTTGCCTTTAAGGAGCACCGTGGTCCTACTTCTTCCAAGAGAGACTGGTTTCTCCTTTGAGCAGTCCACAGTACTTTTAATATTCTTTCCCATTTGCAGCAATTCGCTTCATGATCACTCACAGTAGTGCAGGGGTCCCTGCCCTGTCACCTGGGGCACATTGCCTAAACATTTGACTCCTCAGTGCCCAGACATCCCTGGTGGCCTGAAGGGTGGATGTGCTCAGCTGTTTACTGCAAGTTTGGCGGTTTTGAATTCTACCCAGAGGCAACTCCGTCGGAAAGCTCCGTGTTCTACTTGCAAAACAAGCGACACTGCAAACCCTGTGGGCACAGTTCGACTCTGATCCCCTCATGGCCAGGAGTCAAAATTAACTGGAAGGCAACTGGTCGAACAAGGCGCCGACATCTGTAGCCTAAAACAGGATTCCACGTAAACCAGATGCACAACCGGACAGGAAACAACTACCGTCTAGGCTCCAGGTGTTCATCCTCAGCCTGGGAAACAGGGCGCCGGCGGAGAAGGTACAGCTGGTCAGACCCACAGGAGGAGGGGCATGGCTGAGCCAGACGTCAGCGGTCTGGTGATGCAATGGAGCCTCTGGCCTCCTCAGCTGTTCCTGTTTCTCCATCTGGAAAAACAAATCTGTGGGGAGAGCAAGCCAGTGCCCCACACAGGGAAATGGGGCCCTGGCTGTAGTATTTTGCCCCAGGCCTGGGCTGGGCATGCGCTTGTGCAACTTCTGAGTCATTGCCTGGACTTGGAAATGAGCTCGTTCCCTGGGCAAAGCACAGTGAAGAGTGGCAGAAAACTTCCCTGTGAATCGAACCGATGCCAATCCCAGCCAGGCAGGAACTGGATTCCTGTTTCAGCCACTGTAACAACCTATAATCACAAAGCTAACTGCAGTGAATCGGTATCTGTCATTGCAAATTTGCGATGGATTGAGTTTAAAAACAAATTTTGTATTACCCTCCTCCCCAGCCCCCAAACCCCCAAAAGAAAATCAGCTTCAGCAATTAACAGCTTGATTCAATTACAGGGGGATAGATTTGAACTGCTTTTTTGTTTTCTTCCTTTGCCTTCTGGGAAATTATGCCAGTCATTCAAACGCCAAATGTAACGTGTTTCTACAAATGTGTTTACAGATGAGCCGCCAGCCTCTTCCTCGGGAAGAAGTAAATCAAATCCACGAGGACTGCAAAGACATGGGTCTCTTAATTGGCAAAGGAGGCATTTTTTCTCAGGTAAGAGGAAGCCTGGCATCCCTATCATCTTCGAAGAGCATCTCTTTGAGGTCCTCATGAGGGCCACTTCTTTCCTTCACAATTAGGATCAAGGACCCAAGGCCCCTCTTACCCACCCACCCCCATCCCCAACCCCATGCCTCCAGAACCAATGCTCAGACCTTATCAAAAAGATTAGGGGAGTGGAGTCTTTGAACCACAGGGGGTGCTGTGGTAAACTGATGTGATCTTCTCAGCTCCGTGGGGACCAAATACAAACAATCTGGAATAAGCAAGATATTCAGACACATCAGAGGGCATAGTAGTCATGCAATAAATAATTCATCTCATATGTGAATTAATCCTAGCCTCTCTAAGGTGACCAGACATTCCGCTCTTGGTGTGACAGTCCGATTTTTAACAATTTTTCCCGCGTCCCGGGGCATTTTACAAAAGTCCCAACTTTTGGAAAGAATGCATGACAAGCTAGGGTATACGTTTTTCGGCTGCCATGTGGCTATTTCGCCAGGATACGAGTTTTATCAATGGTGTCCCACTTTCGTCCCGCTTTACCAATGTTAAAATCTGGTCACCTTACAGTCTAAAAGAATCCTTCCAGGTGTCAGCGATTCCATTCCAATTCATGGTGACCTGGTGTGTGACTTGACTAGAACTGTGTTCCAAAGGGTGTTCAGGAGCTGATGTTTTAGAAGTAGATCACCAAGCCTAGTTTTCCATGGTGACTATGGGTGGACTCAAATCTCCAACCTTTCTGTTGGTAGCCAAATAAGTGGATCATTTGTATTACCCACACACACCAAAGTCATCCTAGCCATTCTTAACTTCAATCCTGAGCTCTGGTTTTCAGAACCCTAAACCTGCAAAGCTACTGTGGCTACTGTGACAACCCAGCAATTCTGGCATGTGTAGGTGACCCCTTCACCAGGGATGGAGGACCACCCTCGGTGGGGTCTCAATGCAGACTCAAAATCAGCCACTTCCAGGCTGGAAGATACCAGAGTATCTGGAAAAGCCAAGTCCACAGACCCAGTTTGGGCTCAGCCCTCTGTTGCTCAGCTCCTCAAAACACCAAATTCACCGCCATCAATCAAGTTGATTTTGACTCCTAAGGACCCTACAGGACAGAGTCCAACTGTCCCTGTGAGTTTCTGAAATCCTAACGCTTTCCGAGAGGAGAAAGCCCACGGAGAAGCTGGTGGTGTGGGACTGCTGACCTTGTGAAAGGTGAGTGGCCCGACACATAACCCACTCTATCACCAGGACTCCTCAGCTGCTGCATTCTGCTCCTAAAGCCTTCCTTCACCCCGACAAGCTTCTCCTCAGGGCTGCTGCCAGGCAGCCATTGAAGATGAGGACGCGTCCGCTAGCCGGATGATTTGTACTTCAATTCTGTGACAGTTCTTTCCCATTGTAACCGTTCATGATTGTTGTCATCCTCCATTCCTGCATCTCCCTCGATCCCGCGGCGACTCTTTTTTCTTCCCTTTTTGAACAGTTTTATTGGCACAGACCCACAAGTCAAACCATTTAATAATTCAATCCTATCAAGAAGAGTTGTACAATCTTGACCACAATCCATTGTAGAACATTTTTTTCTTTCTTGTACTTCTTGTTATTCGCCCCCCATTTCCCCCACCAACTTTCCCTGCCATACCCCAGGAACCCATTAACCCAGTGCCTGTATCTGTAGATATAGCCATCCTGGATTTCATATATGTGT